GGCTGTGTTGGGTCTTCGTTTCTGTGCGAGGGCTTTCTCTAGTTGTGGCAAGTGGGGGCCACTCTTCATCGCGGTGCGCAGGCCTCTCACTGTCGTGGCCTTTCTTGTTGCGGAGCACAGGCTCCAGACGCGCAGGCTCAGCAGTTGTGGCTCATGGGCCTAATTGCTCTGTGGCATGTGGGATCTTCCCAGACCAGGGCTCGAACCCGTGTCCCCTGCATTAGCAGGCAGATTCTCAACCACTGCGCCACCAGGGAAGCCCCATATTCTTTTATTTTTAAAAAATATTTATTTGGTTGCATTGTGTCTTAGTTGCGGCAGGTGGGCTCCTTAGTTGCGGCTCGAGGGCCCCTTAGTTGTGGCTCGCCAGCTCCTTAGTTGCGGCTTGTGGGCTCCTTAGTTGTGGCATGCAAACTCTTAGTTGAGGCATGCATGTGGGATCTAGTTCCCAGACCAGGGGTCAAACCTGGGCCCCCTGCATTATAAGCATAGAGTCTTAACCTCTGTGTCACCAGGGAAGTCCCTGTACATGTTCTTTTAGTAGTAAACTTAAAGCCAGCAGTGATACACATCATAAGTAATTATACTCTATGATAACTTAACTAGCCAATTTTTTCCATCCTGAGCATTGGGGTCAAAAATATGGTTTTAGGGACTTCCTTGGCAGTCCAGTGGTTAAGACTCTGCACTCCTAATGCAGGGGGACACAGGTTCAATCCCTGGTCAGGGAACTAAGGTCCTGCATGCTGCACAGCACAGCCAAATACATATATACATATGGTTTGAAGCAAAACAATAGCTTTTCATTAGAATTCTTTAAATTTCTTACCCAGTTCAGCAGTACGATCTGAAAGTTATCAAATGTTGTCCATATAATTTAACTTACGAAATTCTAGTTGCTTTAATATTTCTTCTGAGATGCCTAGAGGCCTTTTGGAATACTCAAAGTTGGCTAGAGAAAGAAACTTATGGGCTTCCCTGGTGGCACAGTGGTTAAGAATCCGCCTGCCAATGCAGGGGACACAGGTTCGAGCCCTGGTCCGGGAAGATCCCACATGCTGTGGAGCAACTAAGCCCGTGCACCACAACTACTGAGCCTGTGCTCTAGAGCCTGTGTGCCACAACTACTGAAGCCGGCGCGCCTAGAGCCCGCGCTCTGCAACAAGAGAAGCCACCGCAATGAGAAGCCTGCAAACTGCAACGAAGAGTAGCCCCTGCTACTAGAGAAAGCCCATGCACTGCAATGAAGACCCAATGCAGCCAAAAAATAAATAAATTAATTAATTAATTAATTTTAAAAATATTGGTGTTATTTAAAAAAAAAAGAAAGAAACTTATAATCTGTTATTAAAAGCAGCTCAGTATTCCAGGAAAATTTGTTCTCTTAACAGGGAGAAAGAAACCAAATTCCAGTCTTTACCAGCTTACTATAGATATTTACCTAATTAAATCCAATCTAATCTTAATCACTCCTGACAGTGTACAAAATTCTTTTCTCAAGGTTCCCTTTTTTTGCAAACCTTTTATCACTTTTGTATCCATATGATTTCCCCATCCAGAAATAACCAGCTCTAAGACAAGATTATTACCATCATTTTTCCTCAACAAAAATATCTCCATTCTTTATACCTTCTCTGCCGACCATGCATATCCTACTTGCTTTACACAACTGAAATGCTTCCCTTATCATTTTTAGTAGCTTTAATTACATATTTCAGTTTTTAACACTTAAAAGCCTTAAAAAAACAAGAAATAAGTAATTGAACTGTTATACCAGCATTTACTGATTGGCAAACTTAAGAACATATTCTGGGACTTCCCTGGTGGCACAGTGGTTGAGAATCCATCTGCCAATGCAGGGGACACGGGTTCAATCCCTGGTCCAGGAAGCTCCCACATGCCATGGAGCAGCTAAGCCCATGTGCCATAACTACTGAGCCTGTGCTCTAGAGCATGCGAGCCACAACTACTGAGCCCGCCTGCCACAACTACTGAAGCCTGTGCAACTAGATCCCATGCTCCGCAACAAAAGAAGCCACCACAATGAGAAGCCCGTCCACTGCAACGAAGAGTAGCCCCCACTCGCCGCAACTACAGAAAGCCCCAACGCAGCCAAAAATAAAATAATTAATTTTTAAAAGAACATATTCCATAACCTCTAAAAACTCACATTTTTTCGCATAGCATAGTTTCTCTTTATTGTGGTACAAAATGCATGTTTAATAAACCCAAACATCTTTTGAAGTTCTACTAATTAACCCAAGGCTGAAGTCTCAGGCAAAGTGGGCTGTGTTTGTATTTCAAGGACATGATAAGAGTTAACTTCAAGTTTTCTCCTAGGCATATTTTTGTTCTCTGAGGGTCAGAATTCTGAAAAGAGTATTTTATCAAGCTAGCTTTCTCAAACTGCAGATGCAGAAAGAACCAGAAGAATTTCAAAACTCTTGGAATTTCAAAAGAGTTTCATCTTAACCAGTTTTCTCCAGAGTCTAAAGAATACTGTTGTCTTATATTGGTAACAAAAAATATCTTTGGGACTTCCCTGGTGGTCCAGTTCTTGAGACTCTGTGCTTCCACTGCAGGGGACACAGGTTCGATCCCTGTTCAGGGAACTAGGATCCTGTATGTCAAGCAGTGTGGCCAAAAAAAAATTGTCTTTTTTCTTTAGCCATAATCTCATAGCTAAAATTTTTCCAATCACACAAATGGAATATATATACACTCACACACCAGAAGACAGAACTGTCACAAATCCTCCAAGAGGATGACTGGTACAGAGTCCCAAACAAATATTTCCCCAACACAAATGGTCCTCAGTGTCAGACACATGTCAGAACCAATTGGCAAAATGCCCAGATAGCACTTTGTGCTCAAAATAGAAGTTTGCCTGGGTACACACCAGTGGACTTACTCTGTCTTGGAGCTTGTCAGGTCGTCTAGATGCATGTTTCCGTTCCACCAAGGAAAAACGTACATTGGCAGCCAGTGCTGAGCAGGGGAGAAACAGGGAGGATTCCTGAAACAAATGGTTTTGGCAGCTGCTAGGAACGCCCCCCGAAATCCCTCTCTCAGGACCAGCTAGCCACGAGCAGCGGGCTCCTCGCAGCCATCCCAGCACTCGGTCATGGTGGGCGGGTCTGCTCGGGAAAACCCCAGGGAGCCAGATGCTGTGAGAGTGCGGCAGCCCTACGTCGGGTGCCAAAAACTGTTACCGAAATTGGGGATCTGGCTGCTCGCTGCTGTAAAGCCAATTAAGAGGCAAGTTTGGTGGAAAGGAAAGTTTGCTTTATTTTGGAGGCCAGCAACCTGGGGGGAGGGCGGATTCCTGTCCAAAGGCCAATTCTCCCCCACTGACAATCAGTGGGCAAGAGCTTCTATAGGTGAAGGGAAGGGGCTACTTGCAGAAACAGCACAGTCAGCTGTGACAGTCATCTTGAAATTGGTCATCGGTGGCCTGATCAGTGTCATCTTGATTACGTACAGTTAGTTTTCAGTTCCAGGGTCGGTTTGTTCCCGTTTCTTTGAGGCCAGCTCTTGGAATTGTGGCAGCTTACGTCATGGCTACAGCCTGGTCATCATGTAGTTAACTTCTTCCACCTGGTGGGGGTTTTAGTATCTGTAAGACAGCTCACAGGATATGGCTCAGAATATTATCTATAGCCCTTGAAGAAGAACTAAAGGTCCTTGACTATGCTTAATGACTAAACTATTACTATTTTCTCTTGTTGGACTTGTTTAGACTCAGATTTTTAGTCTTGTTTCTGCATTTTCTCACTTATCTGATTAAACTTTACTGTTTGGCTAAAGTTTTTCCACAGACAAAAGGCAGGCTGAGGACATGGGCAGCAAGGATCATAGGGTCCTGCTCCATTTCAGGGTCAGACCCAGCCTGGACTCGCTGCCCCTTTGAAGACCAGGCCCCTAGCTCTCTGAGTCCTGTCTCCTAACTACTGAGCCATTCTTGTCCAGGGTGGCAATGAGGACTGGGGGATGGGAGTAGGGCAGTGCCTGTCCTGGCCCGGGGGCAGCACATGGCCTAGATTGAACAGCCGTGATGCCTGCTGACAGATCCATGGCACACGCAGCCACCCTGATGTTCACGCAGATTGCGGTGCTCTGACCTGTGGGCCAGGAAGCCACATGTCTGGGACTCAGGAGATACGTAAGCGGCTAATGGAGGCTTTGAGGCTGGGCACCAGGGCAGCCGGAAGGGCATTTACAGGAGCCCAGTAGCTCAGAGAACTGAGGAGGCGCTGAGCCTGGGTGGGAGGTAGGAGGGGCCCTGCTGCCAGCTTTCCAAGGGGCTTGGGTCCAGGCTTCAGGTGGTGGGGGGGGGGGTCAGGGAGGTTCTAGGGGCTGAGACCAGGGGTTCTGCGTCAATTGGGGATTGGGGGGGAGCTGAGGTGGGTCTTTTGCACCAGGTGCAAGGATTCAGCTATGTCAGGGTGGGCAGTACTGAGGTGGGCAGATTGAGAAGCCTTCTAGGGTTCATCATTGAGCCCCAGGTGCCAGGTCCTGGGGAGGGAGTGCAGGACACGCACAGAGATAAGTCTGATTGCTGGCTTTGAGGAGTTGTGTGTGTCTGTGAAGCAAACTGCGGATTTATATAAAGCAAATATGTAATTACGTGGCCCTAGGTTTTAGCTCTCAGAGTCCAGGAGCACAAAAACAGTTGCAGGCACCATGGTTCTGGTGGCTGCAGCAGGCTTCTGAGAAGAGGTGCCCACGCTTGAGCTGGATGATGGACTTAGGGGAGAGGGGAGGGACAGGATGTGGAGTGAAGGGCTTATGGTGGAGAGACCGGGTGGTGGGCACGAGGGGTGCTACAGGGTGGCTCTTGGGGTTACCCTAGGGATGGGGAGCCAGTCTCTGGGCAGGAAGCCCCCATCCAATGCGAGCTCATGCCTGTAGAGCCCCCACAGCAAGATGGGGCCCCGGCCCTGGAATGGGGCATGCGGGGAGCTGCCCTCATCTCCAGGATCTCTCTCCTGCCCTCCCAGCACATGAGCAGCCAGCCTGCTGACCGCCACTCCACACCTGTCCACCCCGCAACGGCCACACCATGTCTGGCTCCTACGATGAGGCCTCGCTCGCTCCAGAGGAGACCACCGACAGCTTCTGGGAGGTGAGGCTTAGATGCTCCCCAGGTCCTGGGGACCAGGCAGCCTGGCTGTGTGGAGGCCCAGGCTCCCACCCACCCGTGACCTCAGATCTTGCTCCCCAGCCCCACGGACCCCTCCAAAGCCCTCCATGTCCAGCGGGCAGTTGTTGCCACCAAGTGGTTCCTACAGACCATTGAGCCCAGAGCCCCTCTGCCTCACAGCTGCCCCTGGAGAGATCCTGTGGAATTTATGATGTGGAACAGGGCCCTCCTGACCCTCTGCTCTGGGGGCCGCGGCTCAGACTCCTTGTGCTTCACGCAGGCAGGTGCAGCACTTTACAGCTTACGTGGCCTTTCACAGCTGTGCCCTGCCTCCTACCCTATGCAGTGGGCAGGGGGCGGAGCACTGGTCACAGAGAAGTGTTACAAGTTCAGGGAGCCCCGCAGCGACAAAGAGGTGGAGTCAGCATTGCAGGAGCCTTCCAAAATATTGGAGACCCAGAAAGAAGTTTTCCATCGGCTTCCAAAACCCAAAGTAAAAACTGCCAAACCTAAATTAATAAGTGTTTAGTGAGATGTCTACAAAACATAATATTGTGTCAGGAAGCTGCAGATCAGCTCAACGCTTATATGACTCTATATAAATATAATAGATTTAGCACGGCAAGTACAAAATGAATAATTCATCTGAGTCTAAGTCCAAATTATAAATATCCTTCTGCACTTGGTGGCAGTGAGGAAATTCTGTTTAAAGTGGGATGAGGGAGTGTATAGACGGTGGGGTGTGAGGGGGGTGTCCAAGTCTCCATCAGTTTGAGGGTCCAGAGCCCCCAGGGTGTGAGCGCGGGGTGGCCCGGCGGGCGCCCCCTGCAGGACAGGGTGGCCAGGGCGGCCGGGCGGGCGAGGCGGGGAGCCCGCGGGAGTCGTGCTCGCTGCTCGGCCGCCAGGTGGGGAACTACAAGCGGACGGTGAAGCGCATCGATGACGGGCACCGGCTGTGCAACGACCTGATGAACTGCGTGCAGGAGCGCGCCAAGATCGAGAAGGCGTATGCGCAGCAGCTCACCGACTGGGCCAAGCGCTGGCGCCAGCTCATCGAGAAAGGTGCACCTCCCCCTCCTGCCCCATGCCCAGCCCTCGCGCACACCCCAGGCGCTAACCGGCCCCCCACTGTCTGGGTCCCGGGAGCGCCCTGCCTCTGCACACTTCCCCTCCCAAACCACGCAGACCTCCCTGTCCCCGGTCAACTCTACTTTCTGCAATTTTAGGTTGGATTAAAAACAAACAACTTTTTATTTTGAAATAATTTAAGCTTAGAGAACAGTTGCTAGAATAGTACAGAGAATTACATACCTTTCACCTAGACTCACCAGCTCACATTTTAGCACGTTTGTTTTCTCACTCCCTCTCTATTTATAGGCATAGCTTTTCTGAACCATTCAAGTTAGAGACATGCCCCTTCACCCTAAATTCTTCATGTATCACCAAAGAATAAGAACATTTGTTTACATAACCATAGTTCAGCTATCAAATTCAGGGCGTTTAATGTGGCCCATATGCAAATTTTATTATAGCAATTGTTCTTGCTGGTCCAGATCCTGTGGGATGTCTGGTCCCGGTGGCTTCCTGTTATCTGTCACCAGTTGGTTCTTCAGTTTTACCTTCAGTCAACATTCCTGGAGCACCGACTGTGTGCCTGGTGCTGTGCTGGCTTGTGAGAGCTCATGGGGGTCCAGGCTGCCGCCCATGGGGCTCACAAGCTGATGGGGGAGACAGGGAGTAGGCCCAGAGATGGACGCTGTAAGAAGAATTCATGAGGGCTGGAGGCCGAGGTGTGTGAGGATAGAGTACTCAGAAAAGGCTTCCTGAAGGAGGTGGTTGTTCTTGGGCCCTGGAAGATGGATAAAACTGTAGGGAGAGCAGAGGAGGGCATTTCTGCTGCCATGGGAAGTATGGGGAAAGCCTTAGAGAAAGGAGGCATGAGGCGAGCCTCTGGGCCAGGGGTAATGAGGACCCGGTGACCACATGGCCATTTCCTCAGGCCCACAGTATGGCAGCCTGGAACGGGCCTGGGGTGCCATGATGACGGAGGCGGACAAGGTGAGCGAACTGCACCAGGAGGTGAAGAACAGCCTGCTGAACGAGGACCTGGAGAAGGTCAAGAACTGGCAGAAGGATGCCTATCACAAGCAGATCATGGGCGGCTTCAAGGAGAGCAAGGAGGCTGAAGACGGCTTCCGCAAGGCCCAGAAGCCCTGGGCCAAGAAGATGAAGGAGGTGCCTGGTGGGCGGCTGCCACGGAAGGGGCGAGGCTGGGCAGCTGGGCTCAGAGGGGCAGACTGATCAGAGGGAGGGTCTCTACAGATGTGGCAGGCAGTGCACTGCCCGCTGGTATTGGGCCCACAGGAGAGCAGCACTGCCTGCCAGAGAGAAACACCCACAGATGGGGCAGGCACTGCAGTGCCCGAGGGGAGGGCGTCCATAGGGGCAGGCGGTGCAGGGAAATGCACAGATGGGTGGGCACTGCTCCTGAATACCTGGAGCTGGGGCCTGCATCCCTTCTGCCTTTTAAGAATGTGTGCTCACAGCTCCCGGTGGAGTGGGCAGGTGGGAGGGGTTGAAAGTGAACACGTTTGCTTCTGCTTACACCCTGCCCCCTCTCCCCCCTCCCCACAGCTAGAGGCAGCCAAGAAGGCCTACCATCTGGCCTGCAAAGAGGAGAAGCTGGCCATGACCCGGGAGATGAATAGCAAGACGGAGCAGTCGGTGACACCTGAGCAGCAGAAGAAGCTGCAGGACAAAGTGGACAAGTGCAAGCAGGATGTGCAGAAGGTGCTGGTCGGGCTGGGGTCTCAGGGCCCCTTGGAGTGGGTGGCAGCTGGGAGCTGCAGGCCTGGCTCTCACCACCACCCCCCACTTTGCCCTGGTTCCTATAGACACAGGAGAAGTATGAGAAGGTGCTGGATGACGTGGGCAAGACCACACCCCAGTACATGGAGGGCATGGAGCAGGTGTTTGAACAGTGCCAGCAATTTGAGGAAAGGAGGCTGGTCTTCCTCAAGGAGGTGCTGCTAGACATCAAACGTCACCTCAACCTAGCTGAGAATAGCAGGTAGCTGGGCGTGGCGGCACGGTGGGCACAGGCAGAGGCAGCAGGGCATCCTGGGCCCTATGTTATAGTGACAGGAAGGGGAGGGCGGGGCTGCAGGGGCCAGTAGCTGCCTGGGTGTAAGCTGACGCACACCAGATATTCAAGAAACGTGCTTGGATGGATGGGTGAGTGGCTAAGGTGGGGATGGAGAAAGGTGCCCACTGGGCATACCTGGAGCTGCCCGCTCAGAGATTGCTCCTTGGGAAGCAGCCTGATTCCCAGCTGGGGGGCACGCCAGCACCCTGGTCTCCTGAACAGGCCCTGGCCCTCACTGAGGCTGAGATGGGGCCATGGTGCATCTTGCCCTGCACCTCTCCATCTCCCCCGTGCACAGCTATGTTCAAGTGTACCGGGAGCTGGAGCAGGCCATCCGGGGGGCCGACGCCCAGGACGACCTCAGATGGTTCCGCAGCACCAGCGGCCCTGGCATGCCCATGAATTGGCCCCAGTTTGAGGTGAGGATGTGTGGGGATGGGGAAGGGGAATCTGAAACAGCTGGAAGGAGCCTCGGGGGGCAGCCCCCCCAGCCTGACTGCTCCCCTGACACCCCCCAGGAGTGGAACCCAGACCTCCCGCACACCACCACCAAGAAGGAGAAACAGCCCAAGAAGGCAGAGGGGGTAGTGCTGACCAATGCTGCTGGGATGGTGGAGTCCACATCCCAGGCTGGGGACCGTGGCAGGTAAGTGCCTCCTACGGAGCTTCCTGGGGGCCAGGGGGGTCCACATACTGGGACAGCTGAGTTTTACCTCAGGAGACAAGAAATGGTCTAAATCATGGCAAGCTTGGGCTCCTCTCAAAGGTAGTGATAGATAACCCCATGAGAGCACCTACTGTGTGCCAGGTACTGTTCTAAGCATTTTCCATAGATTAGCTCCTTGATGTCTCTCAACACTCTGAGGAGTGTGTAAATATTCCCATTTTACAGATGGAGAAATCAACACCCAGAGAGGTTAAGTGACTTGCCCAAGGTCACACAGCTGGTTAGTAAGCCTCAGAGCCAAGATATGATGCCCAAGAGGTCTGGCTCCAGAATCCTCACTCATATATTTGCCTTGGCCTTCTTTCTTTCTTGTTTTGTTTTTTTTTTCTTCCAGTTTTATTGAGATATAATTGATACATAGCACTGTACAAGGTTAAGGTGTACAGCATAATGGTCTGACTCACATATGTCATGAAATGATTATCACAATAAGTTTAGTGAGCATCCGTCATCTCATATAGATACAAAGTTAAAGAATTAGAAAAGAATTGTTCTCCTGGTGGCGAGAACTCTTAGGATTTACTGTTGTAACTTTCATAGATAACATACAGCAGCGTTATCATGTTGTACATTACATCCCTAGTGCTAGTGATCCTCACTCTTACCCACTGGGCTGTAATAATACCCCTTTCAGATGAGGGGTCAGATGTTCTCTGGGGTCTCCAGCACCTCCTCACTCAAGGGCTGAGTAATGCTAATAGTCCTGCCTCCCATCTGGTTAAAGAGCTGTCAGTGAGGGTCACTGGCTCCGGACCCCTGCTCTATAGAACCACTGGCCTTGGTGGACTTTAGGGTCAGGGCTCTGGTTGGGAGGAGGGGGCAGCCCGAAGGACAGGGTGAGAGGCCACTCATGCTGGGTCCTCTCTCTGCCTCTCAGTGTTAGCAGCTACGACAGGGGCCAGACTTACGCCACTGAGTGGTCGGACGACGAGAGCGGGAATCCATTTGGGGGAAATGAAGCCAACGGGGGCTCCAACCCCTTCGATGAAGACGCCAAGGGAGTGCGTGTGCGGGCGCTCTACGACTACGACGGCCAGGAGCAGGACGAGCTCAGCTTCAAGGCTGGTAAGGGGGCGGGGCCGGTCGAACCTGGGGTGGGGCCTGGCGCATGGGCGCGGCCAAGACCTGGAGGGCGACCTGTGCCTCGGGGGCAAGACTTCAATTGGAGAGAAAGGGCAGGGCCTGAGAGTGGCAACTGGGTGCCAGGGGCAGAATCTGGACCTGAGACTAGGGTGGGGGTAGGGCCAGAACAAGTATTGGGGGCGGAGCCTGAGGGCAGGGCTGCCAGGAGGACGGACAGGACTAGGGCAGTGAAGCTGGAGGCGGGGCCTGGGTTTCTGGGGTGGAGCCGAGATTAGGTGGTTGGCTGGGCCGCCCGTGGGCGTTGAGGTGTGGGTGGGGCTGATCTCGTGGTGGGGGGGGGGCTGGCATCCGGGCAGTAATGGGAGGGGCACTGGGGTCGGCCCAGTTTAATCAGAGGGCTTGCCCAGCAGGTGGGGGTGGGCGTCAGTCCTCTCTGAGTCCCTGTCAACCAGCTCCTCTGTGTCCCCTCCCTAGGAGATGAGCTCACCAAGCTTGGCGAGGAGGACGAGCAGGGCTGGTGCCGCGGGCGGCTGGACAGCGGGCAGCTGGGCCTCTATCCCGCCAACTACGTGGAGGCCATCTAGCTACCCCGCTCCCCTCCACATCACTCCCACTACTCACCCACCGCCTCCCCTCCCTGCCCACTCTTGTCCTCCTCCCCTCGCCATAGAGTTCCAGACATATTTTCCAATCAAGCTTTTATTTTTTTAAAAGTCAAAACAGAACAAAACAAAAAAATACTAAGAGACAGAGCATTTGCCTGGAGGCCAGGGTGGTGGGACTTGGGGTGATGGCCCCAGGGTAGGTGAGGGTCTTAGGACTTAGCCCAACAGCGACATCACAACATCCTCTCTTCAGATCCCACCAGAGAGTCTCCTGAGCCCAGAGGGGTGTCTCCTGGACCCTTTCACCCTGCCTCAGTCCCCCCAGCCTTCCCCTGCCCACCCCAGGCTGCCAGCACCTGCCTCCATTTTCTGGGCCTGGTTTTATGACCTCTGCCTCCAGCCCCACCCTGCTCCCCTCCCACCACCTCCCTATTGTGAAAGACCTCCCCTGCAGACCCCCAAGAAGGGGGCCTCCTCTTTAGTCTTCCACTCTGCCTGGGGAGTACCCTTCTCCTAGCCTTGCGCCTCCGGACTGGTGGGGCTGGAGGAGGGATAGTCACCCTCTTCTCCTATAGAGCTTTCCAGGGGTCCCTAGACTCCCCAGGACATGAAGAGGGGTGAGTTGGAGTTGGTGACAGTGTGACTGGGGTGTAGGAGGGTGAGTGAACGGGGAGCAGGCTCAGCGGAAGGACCAGGACCCTGCTGGGGCCCTTCTTTGCAGCTGTCAGTACTTCCCGCACAGGCTCTTCCTCAGACCCCCGCCCCTGCTCTTGTAAGGCCTTAGGCCGTGGGGAGGGGCCCCAAAGCCCAGCGCAAAGCCAACAACAGTAGCAGCCTCCTGGGGAGGAGGGCCTCTTGCCCTCCCTGCCTCCCTCCCTCCCTCCATGTCCCTCTAAAACTGTAGAACCACTGGGCTAAGCTGGCCTCCCATGCCTCTCTCCCCTGCTCTGGCCTGCCTGCGGAGGCACTGGGGACCCGGTGCCTGTGGCCAATGGGAGAGGCATGGGTTTGCAGGAGGGAGGAGCCCCGGCCTCAGGAGCAGGACAGTCGCCAGGTCTTTCTTCCTCGTCCCCTCTCGCCCAACCCCAGCCCCTGGCAGCCCCTCCTGCTGGCAGCCCCTCCATCTCTCCAAGCCTGGGTCTCAGTTAAAGAACTTTTGTGGGTGGGAGGAGGCAAAGGGCCTCCTGCAAGAGCAGGAGTGTTTCCTGTGGTTGGTGAAAGGAAGTGGTGCTGGATTACCAGGTATTCGTACCAGGTACCAACCAGCCTTGCCCATAGGAGTGGGGCGAGGGTGCTTGAGAAGCCGACCAGGGCAGGACAAGACCCAATGAGGTAGGGGAATGATGGGAAGAGGAGTCTCGGGAACTTCCGGGGTGAGGCCTTGAGGCTTCCTGCAGCACCAGGTGAGGTTACTGCTCACAGCTGACGCCACTTCTGAGCTTCGGGCCTGCAGACACCCTACCCGCTCAGCTCCAGCAGCACCTGGACCCCGGGCCTCCAGGTAAAGACAGTGTGATACCCCAGCCCCTCCATCAGCCTCCGTCCTCTTTTGCTCCGTGCTTCTTCTCCCAGCAGCCCACTCAGGAGGTCGCAGACCCCAGCCTCAGGGCCCTGAGCCTGGTCATGTGAGGACCTGGGCAGAGTCACAGGGGCCTGAGCTGGTGCAGGCCTCCTTTGGGGCCAGGGGAGTTGGGGGTTTGGGGACAATGGCACCCCCAGGGCCGGGCAGACTCCCCTCTCAGCACCCCTGTTCTTGTTACTGTCTGCCTTCTGGGCCTCTGCTGCAGCCTGAGATGTGCCCTAGGCCCCTCAGAGCCTGAGCTAAGATTTCGGAAGCCTCAGGCCTCCGGACTCCAGAACAAAAGCCTCTTCAGCCTCTCCCCAAGGGCAGGAGTTGGGGTTGGAGGCCTCTGCCCTTGGAAGGCAGGAAGCGAGCACATCTGCACCTTGGGTCTGGGCTCCCCCTCTCTGTGCCCGCGGCTTCCTGGTACCTGGGGAGGGGCTGTGGCCCTGGCTGGACCCCAGGCCTGTCCCCCTCAGCACTCTAGCAGCCCACTCCGGGGCAGGGACTCGAAACCCATTCCTTCTGAGCAACCACCTCCACGGCCCTGTTGGGGACCACTCCCTCTCAGTCCCCAGGCTCCTCAGGACCCCAGGGCAGGAGGGTCTCCCACCCGGAAGTCCCCCTGAGCCCCACCTGTCAGTGCTGGTGTCAGTCACTCAACGCCCACCGCCTCCTGCAGCCCCCGTCCGCCCCCTGGATGCTGCGCAGGGCGCTCTGCGGGGCTCGGCGTGTACCGTGTTTTGTCCCCAGTTAAGCGCCCTTTCTGCGGCCTGGCTCTGCGAGGAGCCGGGGCTGCCCCGCCGCCTGCCACCCTAGGCTTCCTGACTCCATTAGTCCAACACCTGTGAAACTCCGAGAAGTGCTGTGGTCTCAGCAATGCACCCGTTTTGTACATGATTGTGTAATTTAAAGGTATATAAATACAAATATATATATATATATAAGCTGTGACTGTATGACTGTGGATAAAATCCAGAACTGTGTCAACCTGGCTGGACGTTGTCATCCTGAGTCTTGTGTGTCTTGCGAGCGCTCTGAGAGTTGCCTGCGGTTGGACGTCTGTTGGGGAGCATGCTGGGTACTGTCCTGGCGACCACCACGGGCTGGGGGCCTGAGGGCTGGTCCCTTCACCTTCCAGGGCCCTGGGTCCTGTCTGTACAGGGAAGGTCACACCTGATGCTCTCTAAGGCTCCAAGGCTGTGGCCTTTAGAATCCGGGTGCCTGGTGATGAGCACTGACCAGGAGACCTGGGGCATCCGGGGTCCCAAACTCATGGTTCAAGGATGAATTTGACCCCTAAATAGGTTTCCATTTTTAAAGCAAAATTCTAAAAGTGGCCGCTGAGGCCTGTGGCTTCTGGTGTTCACAGTCCCGGCTCCCTGTGGTGTGACATCAGGCCATGCCACACTTTCCTGTGTCCTGCCTGACCTCGGACAGCACTTCTGTGTGGGGCCCCTTGTGGGACAGGACAGAGGCTCTGGGCTCCTAACTCTGTTATAACCGGGGCTCAGCCCCCAGCCCAGCTTCAGCTCCAGTCCTAGCCCCTGCTCCATCTTCCCCACTCCGGCCAGATCCCCTCTGGGGCAGGGCAGGAGTCCCTGTCCCAGTCCTGCCATCAGGTCACTGTGTCCCCACCCTGGGTCTCAGCCTCCCCCGTCTGGTTAGATGTCTCTCTGAGGCCCTTCTGGCCTTGACAGCCTGACAGGGTCCTGACACAAACCCTCGTTCAAGGTAAATATACTATAGTCCCCTCACCCCTACTGTTTTCCCCCAGCCTCGGGGCATGCTCAGGGCAGGGAGAAAAGGTCCATTTGGGGATTGGATCTGTTCTCTCCCCCGTATTCTTCATCCCCCAGATCCACCTCCAGGGCCAAACCCCTGGTTTTAGCCAGAGGACTCTTCAAGTAAAGATAAAAGTTTGCCTTATTTGGACAGGCTGTTCCATGCAGTTATGGGGAGCCCTGGAGGCAGGCTCCCCTGCAGAAGGTCAGGGAGTACCTAGGCTAGATGGAGTTCTGACAGGCAGGTGTGTGAAGGAGAAAAAGGATTCCGGAGTTTGCTGCCAGCACGCGAGGTGTCACTGGATGCGTGTGTACCTCTGTGCCTCGTGCAGATCCACACAGCAGGGAGCTGCCCCACCCAAGCCCCCCCGCAGCTCCGCGTTCTGGAGTGCCTCCAGCTCCCCACTCCTCACCCCTAATCCTCCTCCCTCCCTCCCAGGCCCAGCCTGAGATCCGAGGCCTCTCCAGGCCCAGGCCCAGCTGGGGACGTGCAAGCAGGTGGCTCCAGGGACTTGGGGGCAGGGTGGGCAGGCCGGAGACAAAACCAGTTCAGCAGTTCAGCAGAGCCGAGCTGGGTTCTGGCCAGGGCCCAGTCTGCCCCCTCCCCGGGGGTGGGCAGACAGCAGGGGCCCAGCGAGGCACTGGCCTGGGGCAGGGCCTCCTCCTCCTCCTCCCAGTGCAATCCCAGCTGACAGATGCCAAGGTGCTGTTTGCTCACTGCCAGGAGTAAACTTTCTTCTGGAGACAATAAAATTGCTGAGGGCAGAAGGTGCAGTACAGGGCAGCATTTAACCCTCAGTGGTCTGGGTGGCGCTGGGCTGTCTCCTGGAAGCCTGTCATCAGAAGCTAAGCGTTACAGAGGCTAAGGGCGCTGACAGAGCAGGAGGCATGGAGGAACAGGGAGAGAGAGCCCTGTCCTTGTGGGCTCAGCTCTCGGCTCTGCCGCTGATTGGCTGTGTGACTGTGAGCGAGCACTTAACTGCTCTGAGCCTCAGTTCACCAGCTGCCGAGTAGCGTGTGGGGGGGACCCTCACCTCACAGTTTTGTTGGGAAGGTTAATGACAAAGAGCAGTGGAAGCACCTGGCTGCCTAGTCGGCCCTCAGGTCAGCTGAGCTGGATGAACAAACGTGAGGGGAGCATGAGGAAGCCGAGTTGCTTTGCCCAGGAAAGAAGGCGGTGGGTTCCATCTCCCTCAGCACACAGATGAACACTCAGACCCACCCCTTTTTCCCGTCAGGAGCCCTGGCCCCTCACACCTAGCTTGCAGGGCTCACAGCTTCCGGGCCCCTGAGGAGGTCTGTGGCTTCTCTCAAGAGAGGAATTGCCAGCAAGCCAACCTCTCTTCCACTCTTGTTTGCTGCAGAGCCAGTGTCCCATGAGGAAGACTGAAGGCTCCATCCTCTCCCACAGCCCTGCTGCCCAGCCCAGAGCCCCTTCAGGTGGCCAAGCAGAGGCAAGGGCTGTGGACCCCCTCACGAGAGGGGCAGCCCTCGGCCCACCCCAGGGGAAAGTCCTGATCTAAAGCAGGGCAGGAGGATGGGAAGGACGCCACCATCTCTCCAGTCCTGCCGTAGACCCTTTTCAGCCCCAGCCCACGCCCTCCTTCCAGCTGACACCAGGTCAGGGGAGATGAGGGCCAGTCCAGCCCCTCGTTGGCCTTGAGGACTCACTGCCTCTTTCCCACTGCTTCTACCAATCAACTGCCCCTTTCCTTTTAGGCTCAGCTCAATGCCACCTCCCCCAGGAAGCCTCCCTTGACCACCCCAGGCCCCTGTGACCACAGCCTTTTGAGCATTGATGGCCTCCAGGCTGTGCCACTCCCTCACCGTACGTAGGACACTGGGGCCATGTCAATTCTCTAGTATCTTTATTATCCATCCCCAGGGCACCCCTGGCTTCCCAACTTGGGGGGTGTAGGTCCCTGCACCATGCCAGGCATGGTACAGAATGGGTGGCAGAGGGCACTGGACTGCGAGTGGCCTTGGCCAAGTCACTGCGGTTCTGTCGGCTCTGCTCTGGAACTTCTGGGGTCAGAGGCTGGGTGGAGGGAGGGCCTTCCCTGGGGTGCCATGAACACTGAGAACAGCCCTGGCTTCCACCGTCCTCCAGTGGACTGGGCGCAGGAGCAGCGAGGCCCAAAGAGAAAGCACGCCCACCCCGGGGTCCCTCGGGCCCCGGAGAGCTCACTGACACCCGTGGAGCGAGGGGCCATCCCCTCCCTGACCTTGAACTCCGGATGCCAGCAGACTGCCCTGTCGCCCAGCTCCGGGTCTGGCTGAGGCAGGGCGGGCAGGCAGGAGGGAGGTCTGGCGAGGGCAAGGTCCGGGCCCGGGGCCCGGCCGCAGCACTCAGATGGGGTGCACGAACTGGTAGACCAGGCGCTGGGAGATATCCGGCTTGCGGATGATACCCTTCTTGTAGTACTGGCGGATGGAGCGGCTCAGCTTGTCGTAGTTCATGGCGGGGCGGTTCTTGCGGATGCCCCACAGCCGGGCCACCTGCGCGGAGTCCTCGATTTTGAAGATGCCTGGGGCAGCAGGAGGGCCCAGAGAGCCAGCAGTGCAGGCGGGGCGGCAGGAAGGAGAAAGACCAAGACCAGCAGGTCAGTCTCTCGCAGCCAGGGGGGCTAGAGTCGCCCGGGGTAGGGCCAGGCGCTGGGCCACGATACCTTCTCCCATGGTTGTGGTGAGGGTTAAAGGAACATGTGGGAAGGGTGTTCCACAGGGCCCAGGAAGTGGTAAATCCTACCACGGACTCACAGACCTCCTGGTGCAGGGTGAACCTGCATTACGTTGGTTGGCGACTTAGGGCCCTGAAGGCCTGATCCTTGCCAGCCTCTGCTCCTAAGTGTGGGGTGTGCACACCCTACGCAGAAGCCCTGCGGGGCTCCGGGCTGCAGACATGGCTCATTTGGCAAGGTCACCCGTGCAGTTCCCGAGCCTGAAAGACCGCTTTGCGATTCTCAGACACTTCAAGCCCACACAGCCCTTTCTGGCAGGATTAATTGGTAGGAGATGGTGGAAAGAGTGGATCTGGAGCCAGGCTGACCTGGGTTGGAATCCTGGCTCTGCCATTTTCTACCTTTAGAAGTTGTCTGAGACCCCGTTTTCCTGTCAGTAAGAGGGGGTTGTAGTGATCATCGTGTTGTTGAGTGCGTACGGAAAGCGCTTAGAGCAGAGCCTGAAGGAAGTACCCCTTAGGATGAACTATTACTCATTAATACCCCCAGTTCTCATTCTAAACCACCTGGCAAAGCCCAGGTCAGCACACCCTCTCCAGGCAGGCTCCCCAGACCACGCCACCCTCCCTGATCTCCCTGCCCTCATGGGACAGTCTCCCTGGAGTACCGGCTCACTCTCAGTCTCAAATATACACACGGGATCACCACACCTTGTGCAGGAACTTTTCCACCCCTCCTAACCCCTTCCCGTGCTCCACACTCAGCCCCAAAGTCACTCCTCTGTGAAGCCCTCCTGGACCCAGGCACAGCTGACCCCATCACAGCCCAACACATTCTGCACACCAGCTCATTTCACTGCTGGTTCTCCTGCAAGACTGTAGGTCCCTGGAGGATGGGGTACCGCTGAATTCTCCCCACACCCTCAGGACACTGTAACCCTCCATAAATGTCGGCTGAGCAAGTGTGGAACCAGAGGAGGTGCACAGGGAAGGTTTGCTGGATGAATGAATCTAGTCCATTTCACAAACATGAAGACTGGGGTCCAGGAGCCCACGGCTACTAATGGCAGGAGGGGGCCTAGAACCCAGGTTTCTTGGCTCCGAGCCTTTTCTAAAACACACACCCGCACACCATCCAGCCTTGTTGCTGTCCAGTGTGGTCCCCACTAGCCACATGTGGCTCTTAGCCCTTGAAATGTGGCTGGTCTGAAGTAAGGTGTGCTGTAAGCATAAAATGTATACCAGATTTCAAAGACTTAGGAAATACCTCATTAATAATTTTTGTATCGATCATATGTTGAAATTATACGAATTTATAACATTGGATTAAACAGATGTATTATTAAAATTAAATTCACCTGTTAAAAAAAATTTTTAATTGTGGCTACTTGAAAATCTAATATTACCTCTGTTGCCCGCACTGTAGTTTTCATTGGATACCATCAGTCTCCTCCGTCAAGCTCTGATGTTTTGAGGGTAAAGACCGTGTCCGGTTCTCAGCAGAGTCTTAAGGCCCTGCTATGTCCCAGGCACTGTGTGTCACTGGGGACCCTCAACAGGCAGAGCCCAGCCGGGGAACACGCGTGGACACAGACGGCACACAGACCCTGGGCCGGTCCAGTAAGAGTGCGTGTGCGGCATTCAGGGCAAAGGTGGGGGCAGCTCCAGCCCTCTGCCCTGCCCCCAACCCTCCCTGCCCAGCGCCTGGCAGGACCACAGGCTCCCAGCAGCCCCCTCCCCTCCTGCCCCTGGCACTGCTCACCCTTCTCCTTGTTGAGCCACCGGATGAAGCGGCCATAGCTGTATGGCTTCAGCAGCAGCTCCTTGAGAAACTGCCACAGGTGGATGGGCTGCGCGGAGCAGGATGAACCCACCTCGCTGTCCGTCCAGCTCTCTTCGCTGGTCGACGCTGGGCAGCCAGGGAGGGTGGCGGTGAGTGGGGAGCCCCCTTCTCCAATGGCTGCCCCAGCCCACCCCCAGACCCCAGAGCCCCGGCCGCCTCCCTGCCCTGCCTGACTCACCACAGTAGTGAATCGCCCCCAGGGACGTCCTCTCTTTCATCCAGGCCGCTGCGGGACAAGGAGAGGAAGTTGGGGGCCAGAGAGACCCCCCCAAGGGAGGAGGAGGGCATTTGGGTGGAACTGTGGGGCCAGAGAAGCCCCCCCGTGGCTCCCTCCCTCCTGCCAGCCTGTGAAGACCAGCTGTTTACAAAGCCTCCTCCTGGAAGAAAAGGTAGGATTTCGGAGCTGGGAGGGGCCTTAGAGGCCCTGCAGGCAGCCCCTTGTTCAGAGAGGAGTGGAAGTCAAGCCTTGCTTTGCCTCCCTTCTGTCACCTGTGAAATGGGGCTGGGACACCCCCTCACAGGTCTTGCAAGGATGCAGGGTGGTGAAGCCTGCACGGTGCCCAGCATAATAAAAACACTTCCTGCCCTCCAGCTGCCAAGCTCCCCGAGCACCACCATCCCCTCCTGCTCTCCACCTGACCCCCTCCCCAGACAAGCAGTGGGAGGCGGAAGCTGCCAGCTTCTATCCACACCACCACCCGGCTTATAGCCTGGCACTGTCCACTGCTCTTGCCAGACCCCGGCAAGGGGCCTGGGCTGGGGCAGGACACTGGTTTCTGAGCCATGAGAGTGGGACCTGTCCTTTTATTCACCCTGGGCCCTGAGGGGCAGGGGCCTTGACTCGTGGAGCGAGGACTGACCCCTCTGAAGTGCACGGCTCTGTGCAGGGCACACTGGGCGCCCGATAAGATTGAGACCAAGTAAACATTAAGGGGTTGGCATGCAGCCATCAAAACTGGGGCAGCTGTATAGAGAGTGATGGGAAACAAGACCCAGGATACGCTGTTCAGTACAGAACAGTGTGATACTCATACTATTCATGTTAGAAAGGGGTAGAAGTCACACTTACTCTTGCTTGTATATGCATAGACTTTCCTTGGCAAGGTACTCACAAAACTGGCAACAGTGGTTGCCTCTAGGGAGGGGGATTGGAGGGCCGGGGTAGGTGGGAGGGAGGATTATTCTTCATGGTATACTGTTGTTCACGATGGTCTTTTAAAAAATCCTGCACGTTTATTACCTCATTTCTTCTTTAATGAAAACAACAGAAAACAAACACAAAATTTTAAAAAGGACAAAGAAGAAGGACTTAGAGTATCTGATGTCCTGTGTCCTCACAGTCTAACTTCTAATTTTAACTTCCCATGTGCTCTGTCCTAAGTTCTGTGGCCTTGACCAGGGTAGGCAGTGGGTCAGGGCTGGAGAGTTCACCCAGGATCCGGGGAGGCAGCTGTCATTGGGGTTGGGATTCAGAACAGAACCCAGATTGGGACAAGGGGCTGCCTACCCAGTGGAGTGTAGCCTCCGGACAGGCATGCTGACCTAACTGTTCCCCTTGGTGTCCCTGGCTTGGAGCCCACAGTGGGGGGTGGGGGGTGGGGCATTCTACCCACGCCTGTCCCACCTGATTTCCAGATGTCCAGGTGGGCGTGCAGCACGTCCCCGCCCAGGGGCGAGCGCTGGCGGAACTGCTCCTCCGACATGGCACACAGCTCTTTACCCCCCAGCTCCTGGAAGGCCTTGCCCACGGAGGGCAGCCGGTACTGGTGCTCTGTCCACAGGAGCCACTTCTGCACGTTGCCAGGGCTCCAGTCCACAGGGTCTGGGCAAGAGACACTCCTTCAGCCCTGGAGGCTGCTTGAGGGCACCACCCCCAAGGTGGCCCCTCTGCTCTGATGCAGCCTCCATAGGAACTGGTGGCCTGGGACCACGCACTCCTGAGATGGGGCCAGGCCAGGCCACATGGGGCCTTGAGGGGCTCTGTGGAGGGGGTACCGAAGAAGGGGGCAGTGACAGGAAGGAACCAGGGCCCTTGAAGCAAACATGGCTCAGGGCAGGGCAGCCTGGGGCCTCTGCACCCCCATCTCACCTGGACCTCAGGTCCTCCCAGACCCCTCCAGCCCCTCCAAAGGGCCTTTTGGGGAGCCACAGCCCTGGACGGGACAGTGACATTAAACCAGAAACACCCAAGCTTCTTTCTTTCCCAGATGCCTCTTGCCTTCCCCAAACCCTTCAAAGAACCAGAGAAAAACCCAACCAAGAATTAGCTCTACAAACCCCACTCTCCACCCGCACTGTGTTTTACAGATGAGGAAACTGAGGCACAGAGAGAGTTCCATTCCCTCGTCCAACACCTAACAAAGGGCTGGGTGCTGGGGAGCTGCTCAGTGCACGTGCACCAAATGTGGGGGAGCGGTGGCAGGGTACAGGGTGGCCATGGGGCCAAGGCCCGGAGGCGAGTGGCTGGCTTGGTCCTATAAGTTTCCCTGGGGAGCTGCCCTGGGGTGAGCCCAGCAGGGCACGTGGGTGGTGGCCAAGCTGCAGGCACAGACACAATGGGGCCTCCAAGTGAACGCTGTGGTCTAAGCTGGGTGACCTGCAGACTGGCCTGCCCTCACTTAATAAACCTATTTTCTTCCTCAGGGTCAAAGCAATTTGTTTCTGTCCCTATTGTTTAGAGGGCAGGGCCCTCCCCAACTCGGTGTGGGAGCGGAGGCACCGTGGGAAAAGCTCCTGGGTTGGGGGCTGGCATTGGGCCACTGGAGGATGGGGCCTGGGCAGGAGCTGCCTCAAGGCGGGACCTCAGCTGGGACTACTAGGTGGCAGGGGCTGGGCCTGGGTGACTGAGGAGGAGGAGCCAGGCCTAAGCGATGCCTGAAGACCCTTCCTGTGTGCGAGTCTCAGATGCCAGGGCCCAAAGGCCAAGGAGATGGGTCAGGCTTGCCCAAAGCTGGAGAGATGATGGAGGGACAGGGGACTGGAGACCCAGCAGCCCCTCAACCAGTAGCATAAGCTCCGTAACCACACCTTCCAGGCCCTCGCAGACACGTGCCTGGCCTCCTGATGTGCCCCCCCTCATCAGAGCCCTCATCCCCACTGGACCAGTGATACATTATCCTATTTATTTATGATCTGTTTTGTCACTGTAACATTAGCTTCGTGAACGAAGGAGCCTTTGTGCTATGTTCACGCTGAATTCCCCAGTGCTAGAACAGGGCTTGGTATGTTAAGTGATTGTTTATTGAGCATCTATTATGTACAAGGTAACATCCTAGGAACTGGGGATGTAGCAGTGAACAAAACAAATGAAAATCCCTGCCCTTGGGGCATGTACATTCCAGTGGGGGAAACAGTCAGTAAACAAGATACATATGCAGCATATCAGACGGTAGGAAACGTGAGAGAAATAAAGCAGGTTGGAGGAATAAGACGTGGGGGTATGGGCAGCAATTTCAATAGAGGGGTCAGGAAAGGCCTCATCGAGATGGTGCCATTTGAATCAAGACCTGAAGGAGGTGAGGGGTGAGCCAGGTAGGTATGTAGGGGAAGAGTGCTCTGGGTTAAGGGGCCAGCAAGTGCAAAGGTCCTGAGGTGTGTGTGTTGCGGTAACAGCAAAGGGGCAGGAGTGGCTGGAGCAGAGTGAATAAGGGGAGAGTGGATTTAAGTGTGAGAGGAGGAGGTGGGCCAGACGGTGTAGAGCTCGTATTTGCTTCACCCGGCACCTACCAAGTGGGGACACTGGGCTGGTGCGGCTGGGGCACAGAGAGAGTGGGAACCTTGGATCCCAGGCTCGCAGCTGCTGTGTGTTAGGGGCTGAGTGTACGTGTAGAAGCACCAGCATCTCTGGGGGTGACCACAGTGCACCAGGCGGTGCCCCCACACCTCCCTGTGACCTCCGCTGGCCTGTGTCCCCCTGGCGGAGGGGGGCGTGAGGAGGGGCTCACCTGCCGTGATGTTGAGCAGCTTGCAGGCCGTCTCGATGTCCTTGAGCACCTCGCCCACCACCATGGACTGCACCTGCTCCAGTGAATGCTCCTCCAGGGTCAGCCCACCCGGCGCCAGGTCCAGGCTGCCCCCCGGGGCTTGGCTGTCGATGACGGGGCACTGCTCGGGCTCGTCGGGCGGCTCTTCCCGAGTGCTGGCCCCGGGGCCCTTGGCCACCCAGCTGCTGTCCTCGGAGTACAGCATGTCGAAGTAGGAGAGGTAGAAGGTGGACAGGCCCTGCTCAGGTGTGGCAGGTGGGCTGGGGCTCCAGTCCCGTCTCTCGGGCCCCATTGCCCCTGCCCCTACTGCCACCTTCTCCAGGCCAGTCCGTAGCACAGTGTCGGGGGGCAGCAGGAGGCGGCTTGGGGGGACGCCACTCAGGCCCGGGCTGGCGCTGCCCATGCCGCTGCTGCTTGGGCTGGCGGCTGCGTCTACAGAAATAAAAAAGGAAGGAGAGTCAGGTCCTGGCTGCTTCCCCATCCCCATGGGGGCTGCTAAGCTGGTTACAGAGATGAGGAGCCCAGCGGGCAGTGGCTGGGCCTGGGAGAGAGTTGGGGCTTCCGGGTCACTGGGCAGCTAGGACAGGGCTGGGAAGACAGGTCTTGTGGCTGGAAAGCCAGTGGGGTGGGAGTGGGCAGGACGGTAAACAGACAGCTCCCTTACTCCCCAGGGAAGCCAGGTTGGCTGCAAGCAGCAAATCTTTACACGTGTAGCCTGTTTAAAACAATCTTCTGAGGCTCTTGACCTCTTTCAGTCCTCACAATGGAAGGCACAATTAGTCCCATTTGGCAGATGAGCAAACTGAGGCCTGGACAAGAAGTCTTTAATATCCAGCCCTCTGTCCCTGGGCCGGCCCCCACCCAGATCCCAGTCCCCTGTCCTGTCGAGGAAGCTCCTTCTAAGAGCTAACCTAATCTTTTCTGCTGTAGCAAAGCTTGTTTTCTTTTACTCTGACCTTGGAGCGGGTAGGGAAGGGAGAAGGTCACCATCATCTCCACCAGCCGGGTGAAGAATGAAAGGAGCAAGTGAGGGGTGTGGCAGGGTAGAATCTCCTCCCAGGTTGGGGAGGCGGACCCCCTTCCTCTCCCACAGGGCCACTTGGCAGGTGCGAATAAATTCCCGGCCTAACGCTGCTGAGGTGGTCACTGAACAACAACGTACACGTGTGCTTGGCCCCGCCCCTACTCAGGGTTGGGTTCCTGGTACCTACCCTCCTTGTCCTTTCCTGAAAGGTGCTTGCCCAGCCCCTCCCAGCTCCCAGGCCCTCTTCTCTCCCCTCACGCCCAGAAGAACTCACAGCTCCCAAGGTGGGAGGTGCCAGGTGCAGACCTACAGGCCCACTTTCCCCACAGCTGCAGGGGCTGGTCAGAAGGCCCAGGCCCTGGGGGACAAATGGGTCCCTCAGCAAGTCAGACCCCACTCCTCTCCTACCTGCCGCCCCAATAGCTCCCAAGGGGCACCATTTGGCCTCAACACGAGGAACTACAGTGTCCCTCCCCATGGGTCTCCAGGCTCTGCTTCCCCTGGACCCTTTTCTCTGAGCCCCATATTGGAGTCCGTGCTTTGGGTGAGGCAGGGAACTTGCGAGATGTACATACACCAAAGAACTGGGGTCCCTGGGATATTTCCATGATTTGTGGGCTCAAAACTCAAGAATAAATCAGGACAGAGGTGGAAGATTACCAACAACATATGTTCCCCATAACACAGGGGATCATTCCGAAAGGAGGAAAGGAGCAGGTAAACCTGTTAAGGGCAAGTTAATGTGTGTCCTTTCTTGGGGGTATTTACATTTTAAACAGTGTTCTCAAAATGTGGTGCCGGGAGCAGCCGCATCAGCACCACCCAGGAACTTTTGAGGAACTTGAATTCTTAGGCCCTCATCAGAGTAACTGAATCAGAAGCTCGGGGGTGGGGGGTGGGGGGGGGAAAGTAGGGCGGGGGGAGGCCCAGCAATGCGTTTCTTTTTTTTTTTCCAGCAGTGCATTTCTTTCTTTTTTTTTCTTTTTGTTTTGGCTGCGCCTCACTGCTTGTGGGAACTTCGTTCCCTGATCATTGAACCTGGGCCCCCTGCCGTGGGAGCACAGAGTCCTAACCACTGTGCCGCCAGGGAATTCCTGGCGATGCGTTTCTACAGGTCCGTTGGGTGGTTCTGATGAGTGCTCAAGTTTGCAAATTGCTGCTTTGAAGGCATCTGGCCAGTAAGAGGGGTAGGCTTTACTGGAACGAGTGGTAGACTCTCTAACGGTGGGATTTGCTGCGCTGCACCAGGACCGTGGGGCGGGGGCTCCCTGGCCCTTCTCCAGTCACCTCGTGAGACTGACTTGCTCAGCCTCAACGTGCAAGTGAGGCAGAGAGAGAACCCCGTTTGGAAGGCTCTGGCTTCTCTAGGGCCGCAGCTGGTGCAACTGCGTACAACTCAGAAAATGATGCCCTTTTCTCTCTGGGTGGCGTGGCTTGGTAAATGGAGCCCAAGTGGAACTTCAGCTCACCCTTGTCCCCCATCTTGTGCAGTGCCCAACCTTCCCAACTGTACACGGCGGCCCTGCTTTTCCGTGGCGGAGAGAACGCAAGAAAGAGAGAAGAGTGTTTGTTCACTTTCATTTTGCATCTCCCTTTCAAGGGCTCCTTTAAGTGACAAGGAAGGAGAGGTCAGGGTGGGGTGGGGTGGGCAGGCATCGGGGAGCCGGGCTTGCGGGGGACAGAGGGCAGGCCTGGAATCATTTCAAGTCCTTCTGTGCAAACACACGTGTGTGCTGTGGGTCCACATTATTTACCCAAGCAGAGCCAACAGCCCGCTCTATCCCTGGGTCCCCGCCCCAGCCTGTGTCCACACCCTACCCCCTGGGTGGCCCCACCCCTGGAGAGCCCCTCTCAACCCCACCCTTCCCTCATCACCCCCTTCCTGCTTCCCGCCCCATCCACGTCCCCAGAACTCCCCGGCCTGCCACGTTAGGACAGTCCCTGCCAACACCTTGGGCCGGGTGCCAGGGAGACGGAACCTTTCCCGAGAAGCGGGGGAACTTGCTTCCCTCGTGGCCCTCCTGTTTGCTTGGCCTCGGCCACAGGTAGGATGGGAGGCAGCTGCTGTGCTTCGGGGCACAGTGTGAGGGGTCAGTGAGGATGAATGGGCAGGACAGGTGGCAGCATTTGCCAGGTGGGGACGTGATGACACATCCCTGACACATTTGTCAAGTGAGCTTTGAAGCCCTCGCCTTCGTTCCCTCCCGGGAGAGCGGCAGCTCAGGCCTTAGGCTCATTCCTACGCTGTGGTGGGGAAGTTATGGTGCAGAGAACTAAAAGACTTCCGGCTCCTGGCCCGGGGCTCCTTCACCAGCAGAGAACTCCCTCCTCCTCCACACCCCACATTCCAGCTCCCCGTCACCTTGCTCCTAAACGCCAAGGAACCTGCTCTCAACCAAGGCTTGGTCCCAGCTCCAACACCTATCTAGTGAAAAAAAAGTTAATGATTAACCATGCGGCAGGAGGCAAGAGCCGATTGTCCGCAGGTGGGGAGGTGGTGCAGAAGGCTCGGACCCCGGCAGCCAAGCGTGGGGGACCTGGGTTTACTGATCAGGGAGCCAGGGGCTGGTGTGCCCAGCCTGCATCCCTGGCACCTCCTCCAGGCTCTAGGACTGGACTTGGGAGGGAAGAGAACACACGGGGAGCACCTCCTGGGCCCAGAGCGTTGGTACATGTTACCCTTTTACTACCCACAGGGGACTCGAGAGCCCTGTTTTATAGACGTGGACTGTGAGGCTCAGAGAGGTTGTGCAGCTTTTGCCCGAGGTCCCCAGCTGGCCATGTGCGGGCTCTGCTCATTGTACCACGTTCCCTCTGAGGCTCCGGACGGTCCCATCTTCCCAGGGTCCTGCCCACCTCCTGATCAGGTAGCTTGGTCCTCCAAAGTTCCTGCCCGCCTCCTAGCTGCTCACTCCACTGCACTGTCAAGTTCATTTCCCTCCAAAACCCTTTCATCAGGCACCCCTGGGCTCTAGAACCTCCCATGGTTCCCCACTGCCTGCCCTGCCTGATCCCAGTGGCTGGCGCCTACCTCTGAGCCAGATAATCAGAGCTGGAAGGGACCGTATACTATGTGATCCCTATAGATGGGAACAGTGAAGGCCAGAGCGGGAAACAGATGTATTCAGTGGTTAAGGGCAGGGTCTGGACCAGAACCAGAGATCAACATGGTGACCACATATCCAGGCTCTGATGAGAACGGTGCTTCTCCCTTGGCCCCTGTGCTGTGGGCATGACATGGCTATTTTCTCTTGTTTTGTCGTCCCCCTGCCCAAGATGCCCCTTTCTTCTCATCACAGTTTAGCCCAAAACCCTCCTCCCCCAGGGAGCCGTCCCCAGCAGCTTTCTCCTCTGACTTTCCAGCTCTCCCCATTTGTGCCATGCAATTCAGCTGTGATTACATTCATGGGTGATTGTCTACCCATGGGGACACATGTGCCCTGGGAAAATAAGGCTCAGAGAGTGGCAGGGATGTGTCCACAGTCACACAGCAGAGCCAGGACCACTGCACCATAGGCCTAGGGTCCTGGGACAAGCCCAGGCTTTGCCAGGTCCAGGTCCCTCCTGACAGCCTCTGGCCCCGAGGGGCTGCCCGTCTCCTGAGCAATGGCTCCAGCTTCCAAACCTCGAGCTGGTCTTTTCTGGATTAAGCCACGTGTCTGGATTAAGGCTCAGCATGTCCTGCCTCCCTCCTGCCTCAGAGGTACTGGCTCTGACTCCAGACAAAGAAATTTGATAACAGCTGGCGGAGGCCAAGGCCCAGAAACAAGGCGGATTCGCAGGGTAGCAGCCAGAGGGATTAGCCACCTGGGCCACTTCTTTTCAGTGCCTCGAATTCTCCCAGGAAGGCAGAGCAAGGAGAGAAGGCAGAGGGACCCAAAGTTAGAGACTTACAGCAGCTGTTTCCTGCCCCTTGGGAGGCAACTCCCCGGCCTCCAGGTTCTCACTCCCATCCTGACATGCAAAAGATGCTCAGATATCTCCTAAAACCACAGCCCCAGGGAAATGGAGTTACCAGAGTCTTTACTAAGGCCCTGGGCTGTCATGGGGTTGGAGCCTGTCTCTCACGTCCTGCTCAATCCAGGCTCAGATCTTACCCCCAAGGGGGTGGTGGGTAGGGTAAATATGCCTGAGCCCCCACCTCAATCCTGAGACACAACCTTAGTCTGCCCAGAGCCCAGCACCCCAGCTGCAGGCCCCGTGAGAAGAGCGCTGAGGGCGAGAGGCTGGGGCCAGGGTGAGACAGAGCCTGCCACTCTGCCCAGAGCCGCCTACTCCACCAACTGGGGGCAGACCTCCTCCAGTTTCCCCACTGTTGTCAGCCCTTCCCTCCCTCCCTCCAAACCTCTGGGCCTGCATTCATGGGTTGGAATCAGGGGGCTTTGGGGGTGCGATCAGGACCTGGCCA